TGCGAGGGTTTGAGGGAACCGCCTGTAACTGGGGGCTCGTTTATTCACTCCGTACGGTACGGGAAGAGCTGTAATCCCCCCAGCCCCGCACCCTGCAAATTAAAGTTACCACCGCAGTCACCAGCAAATTCTTGGGACCTAGTATTTGTCATTCCCTTAGCTTGCAAATCTGCCCTCCCTGGGGGTCGGGGAGGCAGCCGGGGGGGGGGTCCCCCCCCCCGCCCCCCCCCCCCCCCCCCCATCCTTGCTCCCCGCCCCGGACGTCTCTGGGTTCTGGCAGGGGAACATCGCCATACGAAGCTGCGGGATTTTCAGTCATGTGTGGGACCGGAGATTTATGAATGGGTCCCGCAACCCTTTAGATGTTATCTTAGAGATAAGACTGCAGAAACAGCAGACTGGTGAAACAGAAAGGAGCATGTTAAGTTCGTAAATCTACTAAAATAACCTCCAAACCACAGAAAGAATGTTGAAAGAAAATGTAGGTCTTTGAAGGGTTACAGATTATCTTGTTTTGTTGGGCTTTATGCAAATACACTCCTGGGGTTTATTCAAATAAGGAGCGTTTCTGACTCTAAAAAAGCTGTTCCAGAAGAGCTCATTTGCTGCAGCCGAAGTTACAGTAGAGTCACACTGTACTGAAGTATTTCGTCCTTTGCTTTTGGGCTGGGATTGAGCCCTTTCCTCTTTCGTCGGAGCTCAGCGTATCGGAAAACAGCCCCCCGCTTCAATGAATTGCTCGGACTCGTGGGACTGAAACTGTTAAACTGAAGTACCCTGCTCAGTAGGGCCTAAGAGGGCAAAAGAAGTTGGGAACCATAAAATCTATTCTATCAGGCTGTTGTACACCTATATATGTGTATATATACATATATGGAAATCCATATATCACCATTTATAGCCATATATGTCCTTTATCCTTATAAATATGGATACGGATACACACGCACACCACTGGGTCTATATGGACACCTTAAAAATTTTGGTTATCAGGCTCACCTGCCACGCTGTTCCATCACTGTATTCTTTTCCTGAAGTCCTGCTGTCACCATGGCAGGATTGACAGGTATTTTCTGAATGCTACGTTTGAATAGTTTCTGTGAGGTAATTTTTTCCTTGTCCAATTTTGGTTAAAAACTAGCTGTTGGTTTCTGGATGTCCTCTTCAATTTGCTAGCATCTGATTCCCAAAGGGCTTCAATACTTTCACCTTTATGTCAAGTTTGTGCTGGGATTTTGCAGATTTTCTATTTTTCCAGTCATCCAGTCTGGCTTTTTTTCCCCCTTCAACTACATACAGAGCATCTGGCTAGGCAAATGAAGGAGGATACCTTCAAATGCATTCATGGGACTTCCACTCTTCCACCATCTTTCAATGTCATTTTTTAAATCACTAAGTCAGAGATTTTTCAGATGTGGCCAGTCATATGTGAGTGCT